GGAAACAGATCGTGGGGCCAACAATATTTTTATCAGTCTGCTGAGCATACAACTAATCATTAAGATGTTCCTAAGTATGTTGTCTCAAATTTGAATTATTTCAAGGCATCAGTTACTTCTGCCTTTGATCATATATAAATGCCTTCATGTACACATAGCCCTGAGATGAATGGAGAAAGAAGGGGAAAAAAAGTCTCTGTGCAGAGCAGAACTCAAAGAGCATTTTCAGAAGGGCAAGGGCAACACTGAGCAGGAGAAGGGAGATGTCAAACTGTTTGAATTCTCAGTTGGAACACCAACATCACAAGGTAAACACAAACTTCTCATGACTGAGCAAGTGCTCCTCAGCAGCACAGGCACTGACTGAGATGCTGGCTGCAAAATGCATTTTCAAAGCTTTCACCCCTGCCAGATTTCAGAATGCATGATCTGGCTATGTTCCTTTGGCACTAAAAAGTATCCCAGGAAAACATGCCGTGCAGCAGTTATTCAGCAGTGCAAAGTCAGGTACAGTAATGATGGTAAGTTAAAAAATAATTAATGTTTAAACATTTTACTTTGTGCTATATATCCGTTTCAATAAATAACCTCTTGTCCAGTTGCCATTACCATGAGTTTGGGATGGCCACTATGCAGGAGTTGGAGAGGTCATTGCTTAGTTTTAAGTCATTTTCAGATAGCTGACAAGTTTCTAAACCTGCACTGGTTTAGAAAACACTGCAGAGCTGCATGGCCTTGTCAAAATTGCCATGCCAAGCAGAAGAGAGCGATGAGGCATCATGTTGGCTCACTGATCAGGGTCATCAGAAATCCCAATTCGGGTGCAATTTTATACTGATAAACAGTCTACTAGGTAAACTGTGATATTTAAAGCAAGGCCAGCAAGTTGCCAGCTGTCCAAAAGAGCTCTTCACTTCTAAAACTGCACACAGCAGCAAAGCTTTCCTACAGTGGGCATGTCCATTGCAAATGTAAACCAGCACAGGCACAGATCTGCATCACCACAAATGTTATAGGAATTTGTAGGCACATATATTATGATTCTAAAAGGCACAGGAAGCTTGGATCACACCACCAAAGTTCAAGCTGTGTATTTGTTTTGGGTGCATTGAGGTCATATCTTGTGAAGTGCATGCTTTGGATTTACACCCTTCCTTAACTCATTAGAGGAAAAAGAGGAAATAGATGCCTAATAAACATGTCTAATATTTGACACATTACCAATGCGCAAAGACTTATACTGTCAGTAATTCCAAACGCTAAAGGGACAAGACACCAAAAAAAAAAAAACCCAACCCCAAAACCCACAAAAACACAGACACATTTACAAAGAGAAAAGAAAATGATGCTGAAAAGATTACAGTGCCAGTGCATTTTTCACTGTCAAACATAGCACCAAGCAAATAAAGGGATATCTCCCAAGTTAAGATGACCTTCAAAAGAGATTATTTATAAAAAGAAGCTTTGCAATGCAAAGAAATACAATCATATTCTAGGTGAGCAAGTAACAGCAAAGCTGACTTAACAACATTGTCAAAGAGATGCTGGCAGTTAAGATTTCTACCTCAGCTTCGCAAGATAAGGTAGGTCTCCTACATCAGTATCCTCTGACAAATCTCAGCACCAAATCCCTGTCTCCACAAACGTGTCACCATTACCCACTTCAAAAAGCAAGAGCAAACGTGCCCATGTCCAGTGAGACCTGCTGAAAGAATACCTATAAATCACTGTTTCTAAGTGAAACTCTGGATTTTAGTTGTGTTTACAGTTTATATTTGTACAGTTCTTACAGTAGTATCAACTGCTTTAGAGCAGAACAGAAGAAAGGCTAGGCAGGGGGAGATTTTCACTGGTATTAGGTTTGAAAACATTTTCAAGTATCTTAGCTCCACTTGCAGTCTTTCTCCCCCTTTATGAGTTTCTAAGTGCAATCAGAGCCTGATCAAATCATACCAAGAAAAAAAAATAATCATTGTGATGGCTCTTGCTACAGTTGTTTGCTTACAAGCAAAATTAAAAGCAAGAATCAAAATTTTCCTTAAAACTGGATCAAAAGCTGTAAGTGTCAAAGTCAGAACTATCAACAGGAAAAGTAAGCATCTTTTTGCAGAAGATGTAAAGGCATTCACATAACCCCTGTATCCTAGAGATGGGCTTCTGCAATCACTCTTTTTAATTGCCTCATCCAAGATACCAGAACCACCTAAAACAAAAACACCATCTAGAGCTTCATTAATCAATATGTGAGAACTTAAAAGATTTAGGCATAGTTTATTTACTTTTTAAGATCTGGATAAAGTACCTAAGTAGAAGTTGCCCTTTCAGAAGCTGAGGGTTTAAACAGAATTCTTGTTCTCCCTCACAGATTCTAAGTTACAACTTTAAATGTGAACTTACTGGAAGTTCAACAGCTCCAGTTTACAAAATAAAATTCAACACAGTTAGGAAGGTCAAAGTGACCTTTGAGGCAAAGAATCCCCTCCTATTGCTCCTGATACATAACCTTTTAACTTGTAACATTATTAAATATTTAGTGTGCCACCGCCTTGTCTGACTTGGAGTATACTCAAGTGATTTTATCACCATACTCTGCAGTTATATCTCTGAACACACTGATTATTTTGAAGTATGCACATTTGGCTGTACAAACTACCCACTTTTATTAAAAAAAAAAAAAAGCTGACAGAATTCATGCACTACACTGCAAAGACTAATGCTGCAGTAGCTATGTCCCTGCCATGTGCGTGTACCTGCTGCAGTTGCATTTGTATTTGCCCTCCAACATTCCATGCCAATCAGCTCCCCTTACCTCAACTGACCTGAGCAAGAGAGTGCTGCTCCACCTGTCAAGAGGAACACGCTGTCCCAAACAAAAACCCCTACAGATCAAAACAAGCCTTTCTGCTGACATGCCAGAAGTTTAGGCTAAACAGGAAAACACACTTGAAGCTCTTTTTCCATTACCTTGCATTATTAAACCATCTAGGGAAGAGATAAACATAAAAGGAATTTCTTTAATTAGATAAATTCACTCCTCAGCATCTGTTGTTTAATAGAGCAAAGCACATCAGCATGTTAGAATCAGATAATATTGGAGTCTCCCACAAACTCAGAAGTTGAAGCTTCTTTTCCATGCAAGCATCTAGGTGCCACTGGTTTTACTCACTGTAATATACCACTTCCAGCTAAATGCTTGCTGTAAAATATAATGCAGGTATGCACTGGGCCACAACAACTGAAATTCCTTTAAATTATTATACAGCATCCTGCAAGTTAGAACAAGGCAGAACAGATGCACAGGGTGATCTTGCACAACTTATTTCCCTGAAGTTCTATCCCATGCATTTATTTTTAATAAACCTCAAATCAATTAGAGATTGTGCTTCCCATAACTAAAATCTGAAAACTTTCTTTAGCATAAGCAATATCCATTATGCTTTGCATTTCAGCATAATTTCTTACTTGACTCTCTAAACTAAAATAATCTCTCAAAGGGTCAAAAACCTCTGCAAGAAAACCCAAGTTAATGCTAATATATTCTTAACCTCCATCTACTACAAACTCAATCCCACTGAGTGACAAACTTATCTTAAGCTTAAAAGCAAATACTGTAGGATGGTAACTTTCAATTATGTCTGATTTCAAATGCAATCAGATAATGAAACTTGTATCACAGTTATAAAAAAAAAAAGCCTAAGGATAAGGCAGGAATGTGTTAGCATCCATCTAGTTTGCCTTTAAAAACCTAATCCAAATCAAATTTAAAAAAATCAAAAACAAAAAATCAAAACAAACAAACAAAACCCACCCAAATTTAAACATTTTGGCAAAGCAAAGGACCCTTCCAAGTGGCACTGTGCAAGCCAGTGTAGGCAAAAAACAGTACAGACCATCTGAACAACACTGCCAAAGTTCTTCCTATCTGACATGCTTGGTCTGCTGTTTGCCTTTCTTATGCAGAGATTTACAACCAGGTGCACAATGGAGCATCAGTTTAAAGCAGCTAGGCAGTTTTGGGCTAGTCTGCACACTTACACTCTATATATCTGGGCTTTTCAGGAATGAAGCACTAAGCCATGAAGCACTAAGACAGTGAAGCACTGATCACAATGCTTACTCATTACAGAAGGTTAAAAGCAGCAGCAAAATAAAATGACACTGCAAGACAACTTTCTTCATTTGTCAAGTCACCTGACAGGCAGTTCAGATATGCTGTGCTGAGAAATAAAATTTACATCATATGAAGACACAAAAGAATCTGCTTTAGTAAAATCAAATGCAATTATTAAAAAAAAAATACTATCACCTGAAAATTCCCTATTTTTTGTTTGACAAAAATATTCCTTAAACAAGGAATATCTAGCTAGTTATCTTATTTCCAGTAATGGTATATTTTCTGTTACTGAGAGAATTTAATAATCCTCTCATATTATTAAAGAATAATAATCTTTCTTTAATAAAAGATGGGGGGGAAACAACATAAACCCCCACAAAACCAGTATTTTCAAAACGACAAAACTAGTAAAGTAGCTCAGAGAAGTTTTAAGTATTTGAAACTAAACTTATTTTTTAGACTGACAAAATGTAAAATCATTTGTATTCCCTATCGGGGAGCATCACATTTAAGGAGTTGAGCTCTTGTTCTTACTAAAAGCATAGGATGTTTGCTTATAAAAAAATAATTACCACAGGCATTTCTTCGGGAATCACAAAGTTCCTAATGCTTTGTTGGTTTTACTGAGCAGATCCACCTCAATTTAACACACAGGCAACTCTAACCTGCCCCCAGAAAATGCATACACTTTAAAAACAAACCTAATAAAATGTAGACCAACCTAAATAAGCAGCATATTTCATATGCCTTGATCCTCTGCTCTTTTTGAGACTAAAGAGTTGGTCATTATTTCATGTACCCCATCACTAGAAAGAAAAATAAAGGCTTCCGTTTTCACGTGGTTTTAACGGTGAGGATTCAAAAAAGGATGCAGGCTCGCTCTTACCCATTCAGTGTGTACGAACCATTCCTCTTGAGTCTCATACTTGCAGATAACAATCTTAGGAAAAAATCCAGAATGAGGTGGTTTGTCCTCTGCTACACCAGAATACAGGCACCTGTTTGGTGGTTGTGCTTTTTGTTCACCAGGGGACCTCTTTCCTGTTTCTCTGAGTCATCAGTGAGAAACAATGCAAAACCGCCACCAGAGCCACTTAGCAGGAAGCCCAGAGGAAACTGCCTGCAGCCAGACAAGAGTCTGGAGGTGTAAAATCTCCCCAACACACTTGACAAAATCCTTGCTGCCCACCAAGGAAAAGCAGCAAATATTCACGGAGAAGGGGTTTTATAAAATACCTTAACCACTCCCTGCATGTGCAAGAATAAATCTTGTAGAAAGCTATTTTATCGGTGAGCTGCTCTTTTTCCAATTAGTCTGAAAGCAGCTTCAGATCTATTCCCTCCTCCTCACGAGCCCTGTTGTGACTATCAAGTAGTCAGCACTACCCTGGGAGCACAAGGCAATTAAACAAGAAGCCTTAAATATTCAGACCCTGTGAGGGGAGGTTCCCCCTAATATCAAGCTGGAAACTACACATTTGGAAAGGGACACACAGCTAGTGGTTAAGAGGTTTATTTTCCCTGTATAAAGTTAAAACCAAGCAGATCTAAAGTCATGCTCCAGCACTGCAGAGAAAAATACCCTGCAGCAGTCCAGTCCTGGGCAGGCTGCCCTGCATAAATCACACGACTGCACTGTCTCTGATGAGGCTGTTTTTCTTCCTTTCTGTTCACCCTACCATTCCCTGATAGATGTGAACTAAACAGCTGCAGAGCTTACCGCCTGGACCAGAGGGGTGAATCTACCACACAAAGCAAAAATTGCTCCAGATAATTGTTGATCATTCACTGTCTGTGAGCAAATAAGCACTGACTCAAGTAATAAATCACACAAAAGCATTTTCAACAATGAATATTGAAATGACCAACTGTCACTTGTGGCCTAGGTGAAACTGCTCCGGCATAATGGGAAAACTGCATGCTACCCAAATACAAAGATTAAATATTCACTACTTAAACAGAGGGAAGCAATAGGTAAGGTCCCACAGAACTCCAGCCTGAGTACAGCATTATTCTGTATTTTAATGGTCGGAATATCTAAGGACAATATGTTTGTCAAGCTGAATTTCATCTTGATCCCATCTTTGCAATGTTCCTTCAGAGCTGTCATCTGAAAATTAAGTTAAAGAAATCCAGCCTAAAAGTAGGAGAATTGCTTTATTTCTTTTTAGGTGCTTGAGATTATACAGTTAGGTAGTAACAAAGTATACCTATCTAGGAACTGATTAGATCACAAGTGTTGAGAGAAAAAAGGGTTACAATGAATTATAGGCTGCAGAAACCAACAACATCATACTGTTGAAAAAGGCAATGAGACTGAGCTGTACAAATATGCTACCTCTGCAAGACAGAAAGCAATTTGCAGCATCTATCAAGCCTCAGCTGGAGTATCGTGCCCAACCCTTGGCACCCTATTTGAAGATAGATGTCTTCATTTAGCTGGAGCCCAGAGAGCACCAAGAAGAATATTATCTCACAGATGAGAAAAAACGAGGGAGGAAAACCAGGTAATACCTTCCAAGAATGTAGAAACTGGTGTAAAGAAAAAGGAAACAAAATGTTCCTTCTGCTCTATCCATCACAAAGGGACTTGAATTAACTAAGAAACAAACCAGGTCAGTTTAGATTTTTTTTGTTTAGGTTTTGTTTGTTTTTAAGTACAGGAATAGATTAAAGTCTACATGCCTGCAGGCCTTTGAAATGATTTTGCTCCCTAGCTGAGGACTGAATAGCTGGCCTCCTATAGCTGTGCCTCATTCCTAGCTTTCTATGATTTGCTTCCCATGGAAGACAGAATGAAAACTGTGCTGTGTAACCACGTGAGGCAAACTAGATTTCAGCACTTCAGATTTTTTTCCCCTCAAAATAAGTTATACTGGCCAGGACTGCAATTAGGTGCAATACATTACTACCACAGTGGTAGCAGCTCTCTGCTGTTATACACATCACGGGCGGGGGGGGAGGGGAGAAGAATCATACTTCAATTTCTTCTCAACCATCAACTTTGCAAAGATCCTACCTACGTGCTGGCTGGCATCTGGGTCCGATTCTTCCAGTTGCTATGGTCAGGCTCTGATGTCCCTCAAGTTAGTGAAGATTCACTATGGCCACAGAAAAGCTACAAGTCAGGTCCCCGCATGCAGTTGGATAAAAGCAGAGGCACATTCTTGGAAGCTTATCAAAGAAAACTAGGATGATTTATTTGGTTAACAATTTAAAGAATTAAAAATAGTCAAAGCTAATAAACCAAAAGAATTTATGTACAGATCATTTCTAAATGCTCTGCAAACCCAGAATCAACAAAAAAACTGAACTCAGTTTTCTTCCTTAAAGACAGGATTTCTGGAGAGGTTATCTTAAACCCAGGCTCAGAATAAATCTGGTAGGTCTTCAGTTTTCATTAAAAGACACATCTGACAGTAAAATTAAATCATATATGACAACGGGGGGGTGGGGTGGGGGGTGGGTTGGGTATCTACTAATTTGCATTGGAAGTGCACCAGCAATATGGAACACAGGTCATGAGGTGGTGTCTGATGCCTACTACTTAATAGCAACTCACTACTATTGTAAACTGCAGAATCACAAGTTCTGTATTTAAAAAAAAAAAAAACAAAAACCCACAACAGATCTTCCCACAGCTTTTTTAAGCTCCTTTCTGGATGCAAAATTTAAGCAATGTACCCACAGATTTTCTGAGCCAGTTTTACTGGCTACCTCATTTCTTAAAAAATAAGTTCTGGCATTCTCTTGCTTTAAGAAGCTACTTTTTTTTTTTTTTTCCAAACTCTACTTCTGCTGAAAAGACATCAATGCTTTTCTTCTTTTTCACTCCCCCATCCTTTTTCAGGGATTACAGCAGCACAAGGGTATGTGTTCTTTAACATCTCCATCTGAAAACTATTATAGGAAACCAGCAACTAAATATAAACTGTCCAATCAGAGCCAGAGCCAACCACACTGATGCTGGGATCCCAAAATGCTATCATGGACAAAAGAACTTACCACAGAAACACAGCTAAGGCCTACTTACCAACACAACTGCTTCAGAAACAATGAATTCCTGCTTCAGAGAGGTCTTCTGGAAAAATGTGTTTGGTTTACAAAGATAAAAACGCCCTTATTTTTAGTCAACATGAAAATAAATACAAACTTGCTGAAGTAGGCAACTCCATGGTGAAGCAATATGGTATACACATTATCTCCTACACTATTTTCAGCTAGCTGCACCTAAAGAAACCCTTTCTCCCTACACGTACGCATTCCAGAGAGCATACACAAGCTGAATCATCATTACTGTGGTGAAAACACATGGGAGCAGGGAAAATACCTTTATGTCGCCTTAAGATCCCTTCTGACAAATAAAGCATTCTTACAGGCCACTTCTCTTTTATTCCCTTCCCCAAGCAGAATCCATAAACTTTAGCATGGAGTGTTTGTTCTAAGGCTAAATATTCATCTAACCACTGCTCTGTTTTTGGGGGGAATTTCAACAGGACTATTTGGACCAGTAATTCTGGGCATTAGCTCAAAGTACAGTTCTTTAAGTAACAGAAATTAGTATGGATGATTTAGATTTACCATTTTCAACCACCTCCCAGCCACTTTGTGCTTTGAAAACAGTATTTAAAAAATCTGTTTCAATTAATACTAAAAAAATAACAATAAAAATATCCATTTAATAAGGAAACACACATGTTAAGTAAAAAGCTTCGTACAGAAGAGAGTAGCTAGTCCTCTACTACTTGGAAAGACCTACAGTACACTCAAAGCTTAATTATTCGTCCAGGGGGAGTTTGCATACGAATGAAACATCTTTCTACATCTAAAAAGAAACACTCACTAGCAACCTCAGTTATCCACATCTGGTCAGGAAAGAGAGGAGACAGTGTGCCGATAGGTACCCCGTTTTCCAGAGCCATGGCTTTTCACAAGTGTTTAAGTTACTTTTACAGCATTTAAGGTTATTTTATACATGTATCCTTGACCCATTCCCTACAACAGTTTTAAAAAAACTATTTGAATTTGTCATGCTATTGAAGAGAACAATTTACTCCCTTTCTTCCAGAAAATACCCACAAACCCAATGCTTAACCTTGTTTTCTACTGCCTTGCATCATAACTTGCACTTAGAGGCTGGCCAAGTTAATTCCAAAGCTAATCAATGAAGCACTAAATTGTTACAAGAAGCAAATTTGTGTCTACTTTACTGGTCTGATTACACGCTTACAGCAGTCTGTATTAGTTCATACATCACCCAGGGCACCAAACAGTGGGTCAGTCAAGTTCACTTTACTTAGCTAATTCAGGCTTAATTTAAACACTCATATTAGAGAAACAAGGATCCTACAGGTCAACATCAATCACTGCTGTACAGAGAATGAATAAAAGAGGAGTAGGAGAACAGGAAAATTTACTCTAAGACATAGCTGGAAATACATATTTCCCAAAATTCTGCTAATTCATTTGACACATGAAGATAGAGCTGCCTCAGCTTCAGAGCTGAGAGATTTCTTTGCCAAAGCTGTAAAGAAATCCCATTTCAGTGAGGGTTTTGGCTTACTATTGAAGAAAAGAAACTTGCGCAGGGACACTACCGTTGTCAGTATAGAAATGAAAGCCGTATCACATTCCCTGTAAGAAAAAAAACAGAAACCTGTAACATGTAAGAAGTCCTTAATTTGCTTAAGAGAAGGTTTTTATTAAATGAATACCACAACCAGTCCTGATGTAAGGCAAAGATGACAGCAGCACTGAAAGGGTTATTGCAAGAACTTCCTAATAAGCAAAACAGGACAGTGTTGGAGAAAGTTAGAGAACTGAAATAACAGAAAAGCAATCCGCCTGGAAACGGAAAAGGGTGGGTGAGCAGTCTCTGCCGGACAAGGGCAAAAGCCGAGGTTTGTAAATTTAGAACAAAATACACACCCACACAAAACTTCTCAAGTACGAGGACAGGAGAAGGGAAAAAAGCAGCAGGAAAAAAAAAAAAAAAAAGCACACACAACATCACAGAACGCCTTTATATAAATTCTGCCTAATCATTCTTAATGGACGTCTGCCCATGGCTTAGTACGGGAAAGACCAAGCTTTCAGTGTGTGCCAAACTGCCTGAAACACAAACCCTTGGCACACTGCCTGCTTTGATCCCACATTTTGGGCAGTTTCCTGGAGGTAGGTTTGGAGCAAATGAACATGAACAGATCACGCTTTGGGAGGGCTGTTCAAAGGAGTTAGGTATCAAGTTTGGTATCACACTTCACAGTGTTTGAGTGCATTATTTTTAACTTACCTGATTTCAAGGCTTTAAAAACAGAGGCAGCTAGACAGAATTTATTAGTTTCAGTGTTAGAGAGAGATCCCT